ATATATATATATATATATATATATATATATATATATGGAGAGAGAGAGAGAGAGAGAGAGAGAGAGAGAGATTTTTTTTCGCGGGTGTAGGTATGCTGGTCTTGTTGTATTCGGGTCTTTTCCCGTGTAAGATTGCAATCTTACATGGGGAGAGATCCGAATATAAGACCAGCATATTCTGAAAAAGGCAGTGGAAAGAAAAAAAAAACCCATGCAAACAATATGGATTTAGTCATTTTCATTAAAATGATAGGATTAGAACAAAATAGTAATTTTCACAAAGCAGCAGATGTTAATAGCATTATTATAAAGAGATGGCTGAGTAGGATTGGAAAAACAGAAAGTATATCATTAATGTAAGGCATGGAACTGGAAAGCTGGGAAAATACAAAACCTACAGTAACAATTATCAGGGGACTATAAATCAATAAGCCATTCAAAACATTTGTTTCAACTACTAGTTATTTCATGTTAAAACAAGAGATATTGGCTGACAGAAATTTTTGGGAGACTCGTGATTTTTTTTAAAAAAATGTGTTCTGATAAGTCCTATTAATAATCATGCCTATATAAAGAAAGGTGGGACTGAATTTGAAAAATATCACATTAAATCTTGCAGGAAGTTTAAGCTAATTGAGCATTCTATTCATAACAACCTAGGAAAGCAGATCAATTTATGTAAATGTACAGAACAGAAAGAAGAGCTTCTTGTTCATTTCATTAGAAATCTTTGTGTATATAAAACAAAAGTCTCAAGTGGAGATTAAAATAAATTATGTCACAATCCTAATGGAAATGATTTTTTAGTATGATTTGCTTCTTCAGGTTCATAGCAGGATGAATAGTAGCAGGAATTAGCAATAACTAGGAATTGTCTTTTTTCTAGAAAAAGGATAACTCACTCACTTTCTAAAGAATTCACCTTTCTCTAAACTTTAAAAATTGTAACAAATTTACTGTGGTTGGATATGTAGTCTATAAAATCCCAAAGGTGATTTTTCAAGAAGCAGCTAGACTTTCTTTGTTTTTCCTTGAAGACATTTCGCTTCTCATCCAAGAAGCTTCTTCAGTTCTGATTAAAGTTTCTCGGATAAGAGGCGGAAGATCTTCAAGGAAAAACAAAGACAGTCCAGTTGTTTTTTGAAAAGACGCTTTTGGGACAACCTGAATGACTGAGAATATCCATAGATATCTAGTCTATAAAATGTTTCCTACTGCTTTCTAGAATAATTGTGTTTTACATGAAATCCTTCCTTAGATCACCTGGAACGACTAGTTTTTCATTTGTACTTACCTGAGTGACCCATTTTAATGCTCCTTTCCAGATCAATTATAACTTTTTCCAAGAATGACAACCAGAATTTTTTTAAAAAAATCAAACACATTCAACCCTACATTCATAAATAAGTAAATAAAAAAGTTTCAAAGATTATAACCAAGGTTATAATCTTCTATTTAACTTACCCCCGCCCCAATCAAACTTTCAAATGCAAAATAACCATCCTGATAATATATTAGGTGTATTACATATCAGTATACCTTCTTCCCCATTTGCAGTCTATAATTATGCACAAAAAAGCAATTAACAATACATACCAGCTGGAGGTGTCTCATATCGTTCTGATGGTTCGCTGGGCTTACTTCTCCCAACTGCATTGACAGATATAACACGGAACTGGTAATTTACATAAGGGATCAGTGGTAAAACAACCATAGTATCATTTCCTGGAAGCCTAATTAATTCCTGCCACTTTCCAGGTGCCCATCGGTTTTCTTCAAATTCCACAATGGATTCTAGAAAGGACAAGGAGAAAAAAAATTAAAGAAGCAAACTACCCTGGAGCCAGGTAGATGAGAACCAAAAAAGATGATTAACAACAAAGACCTTCAACTACAAATTAATTCAGTGGTGCTTTCATTTAGGATATATGGTTAATTCAAGGCTAATTATTTACTGTCACTTTATAAAAGCCAGACAGTAGCAGAAAAATCCTTCTTACCATTAATTGGGCTATTATTAATGCTTCCAGGACTCCAAGATAATCTAATATTTTTTGCCTGCTTTTCAGAAAGTTGTAGGTCCCCTGGTGGGTCAGGGACATCTAAAAAATAGGAAAGAAATGCAAGAATGACTTTTAACTATAGTATGCAATTTTGAACTTAGCAAACCATAATAATATTTATCAACCAAGTTCTATGCAACCCAGAAGGTTGCGCTAAAGTTGAAAAACAATTCAAGAAATTAAAATCTGACATAACTGATAGAAGTATTAAAGTTAACTCCTGGCTTCACAGGTCTGTAACAGACCTAAGAATCAGAGGAAATTAAAGGATTCGAGTAGAAGATCTCCAAGATCCCTTCCAGTCCTCATTTCATAGTCTTATAACTTGTTGTTGTTAGTTGCAAAGTAGTATCTGACACATCATGATCCCATGGACAACGTTCCTCCAGGCCTTCCTGTCCTCTACCATCCTCTGGAGTCCATTTAAGCTCACACCTACTGCTTCGGTGACTCCATCCAACCATCTCATTCTCTGTCNCTTTCTCAGAGAGTCAAGGACATCTTGCCTTGCACCTGGAGTGGTGTACTGGGAGGCAACTTCAGTTGGGATGGTGTTTGATTGGACCATGTGATGGACATGTGGGTGCTGGGTAGGGACTTGAGCTTCCATTTGGGTGGGGAAAACCTGGGAAATTTCAGATTTGGGTTTTCCCAAATGTGCCAATATGACATCTCTAATAAAATGGAACTTTGAGGAATCTCTAGCCTCTGAGACTTCTTTCATTGGGGGTGTTACTTGGAACCAGGACAAAAATATTATTGGAAGACAGTACACACATTTCCAAATGCTTTTTACTATACATTGACACTTCCACATGGTAAGGTACCTGTATGCAGAAAAATTAATCATCTTCATCATTATCACTATAGATATACAAAGGACACAATTAATTAAAAAATTAAAATGATGATAAAGAGTTGTAAATAACGAACAAGTTATAACTCCATTCAACTTCAGCAAAACTCTTTCTCCCCTCTACTTTTTACCAGGTACCTAAGGGGCTCATTACAGTTATGATTCCTGGCCATCTTAATCATTTGAGATGGATGTGTAAATCAATAAATAAGAATGTTTATAGTTCAGGGTTGAAATGAGGGGTCCTTCATCAGTAGCACTACCACTGATGATTACCTAGTTTGGGTAATGAAATGTCTGGAAGAAAACAAGCAAGCTCAGAGAGATTCAACCTGGAAATAAGGAGAAATTTTCCGACAGTGAAGGCAATCAATTAGTAGAACAGCTTTGCCTTTAGAAGTTGTGGGACCTTCATCACTGGAAGCTTTCAAGAAAAGACTGGACTGCCATCTGTCAGAAAGGGTGTAGGGTCTCCTGCATGGGCGGGTTGGACTAGATGTCCTTCAAGATCCCTTCCAACTCTGTTAATCTGTTACATCAGATGTGTAAATGGCAAAAACCCATTCTTATTCCTGCCCTTGCAGCTAAGTGTAAATGTTTTATAGCATGCAATTAAAATTAACTGAATCTTTAACTATTGTTTATGTTCATATTTATATCACCTCTGACAGTGAGAGTAGCAGTGATGGCACGCTTCCCAACAGAATTTTTCACCAGGCAGGTATAAAATCCAGCATCTTCCTTCCGTGTTTCTCTAATCTCCAGGGTTCCATTTTGATCCACCTCAAGAAGTTGCATGCTGTCATCTTTAGTCCTAGTAAGGAATTTGCAATCAGAAGTATGCCTTTATTACTTATTTATAAACATCATTTTTAAACTTTCCTTTAACAGTAAATCATCCGACAGAGAAAGAAATCCTGGAACAAGCCATGTTGGAAACACAGCCTATAAAAAAACAGATGTGTTTTTTACAGGCATAGGATTGAGAAATAATTTAACAGCACTAACCCAGAAGCAGAAAGACCGATTTCCAAGATCAAAAGTGTTCTGTGGTATCTTTTTCAAACTGTTTTATGGAAAAGTTATTTTCAATCCTGTTGTTAGTGGCTAGAGGGAAGTAATGGCAAGCTAGTTTTAATTTGACAGGTGAAGGGAAAATATAGCAAAACAAGGATATTGCGTAGAATTAAGAATACACTTTCCTCCAGAGATCTAAATTTTGTGCCATTCTAAAGAGGGATGGAGACTCACTGGAGAAGAGCCTAATGCTGGGAAAGCTTGAGGGCAAAAGAAGAAAGGGACAACAGAGAATAAGGTGGCTGGATGGAGTCACCGAAGCAGTCGACGTGAGCTTAAATGGACTCCAGTGGATGGTAGAGGACAGGGAGGCCTGGAGGAACGTTGTTTGCAATGGGTCGGACACGACTTCACAACTAACAACAAAAGAGGGATGGAGGGAAACCCAGGTAGAAGATATGAGGCTTTTCTTTATATGTCTCATTGCTATCTTTGCTTTGCTCTCAGAGTGAGATAAAATTAGTGATGATTTTTTTAACGAAGCTTGAATAGAGGAGGTAATCCTGACACTCTGAGAAAATGAAACGTTTTTAAATCTTTCAAAGTAGATTCAGCTCACCATTATTTTAAGGCCTATTATCATGGCCAGTGAAAACCTCAACAGTCATGATCTCTTGAGGCACCCACCTATCTGATAGAAGAGAATATTGCCCAGATCAGAATTGAAGTGTGCAGTCTTTGGTATTCTCTAAACTTGACAGACATTCATTATCAAGCTAGGTAACATCATCAGTGAACTGATAATTACCTAGTTTGGTAATGCAACACCTTCCTGCCCCCAAAAAATCACCAAGCTCAGACAACACTAAAGACCCCATGGATCAGTCTATGCACAGATCCTGTTTGCAGTGATAGCTCTGCTTTATCTTAACCTCCATTAACCCATTGCCAATAGGGTCTCTTAGTCTTCTTCTTGAGCATTATAGAAAGCACATTTTAGTTTTATTTTATGACAAGCTGTGCAACACATCACAAACAGAGGCTCAAAGACTGGAGACAAGAATTTGGGGTTTGTTTGCTTTTTTGGCAGAATGGAGGGTACTCCCTGGTCATGTGGCTCGCATGACTAAACGCAGAAGGCGCATGGAATGCTGTTACCTTCCCTCCAAAGGTGGTTCCTATTCTTCTACTTGCATTTTTTATGCTTTCGAACTGCTAGGTTGGCAGAAGCTGGGACAATTAACGGGAACTCATTTTGTTATGCGGCACTAGAGGATTTGAACCACCAAACTGCTGGCCTTTCTAAACAACAAGCTCAGCATCTTAGGCACTAAGCCACTGTGTCCCCTGAAATAGAAGGTAGGGAAGCTATGGAAAAGGCACATTTTCTAGGTTCTGATATATGACATTTAAAGAAAGGGCTTGCAACTTGTCCATTTTGTGACACCCAGGAGAGCAGGTAGATACTCTCAAGGATAGGTGATCCTGCATATTCTCAGCTCAGTATCTATGGAGATTCTCAATTATTCAGGTCATACAATACAATACAATACAATAACAGAGTTCAAAGGGACCTTGGAGGTCTTCTAATCCAACCCCCTGCCTAGGCAGGAAACCCTATACAGTTGCAGACAAATGGCTATCCAACATCTTCTTAAAGACTTCCAGTGTTGGGGCATTCACAACTTCTGTTCCACTGATTAATTGTTCTAACTGTCAGGAAATTTCTCCTCATTCTAAGTTGCTTCTCTCCTTGATTAGTTTCCACCCATTGCTTCTTGTTCTACCATCAGGTGCCTTGGAGAATAGTTTGATTCCCTCTTTTTTGTGGCAACCCATGAGATATTGGAACACTGATATCATGTCTCCCCTAGACCTTCTTTCTCTTAAACTAAACATATTCACTCACTGCCTCCTGCACCTCAAAACTAATAAGACCTTCCTGAAAATAAGGCCAAGTGCTTCTTTCAGAGGTCAAAAGAAAATAAGACCCTGTTTTATTTTTGGGGAAACATGGTAATACTGACTTGACCATGTAAAGTTGTTTTTGCAGTGTGTGTGTTTGTCTTTGTGTTTGTCTTTGTGTTTGTATTTGTGTGTGTGTGTGTGTGTGTGTGTGTGTGTGTGTGTGTGTGTGTGTGTGTGTGTGTGTAAAGGAAAAATAAGGAAACATATTGCAGATTGTAGAGATTGGGTAATTTACAATGGTTTGCTTACAGTTTCTGGAATGTTGTCTCTATGTAATGGTCAGAAATGCTGGCTAGTATTGTAAAGCAAAAAATATATAGAATATGAATGTTTAGAAATATTTGATCACAGATATGAATAAAGAATAATGAGACCATATGTAGAGGGCAGTCTAGTTTAACTTCAGATAGATGGTCCAACAGATAAAGCTAAGTCTGAGACAAGTTTCTTTGCTATCTAAGGAAATTTGTAGGAAACTTTATGAATGATTGCAGTACAATGGTATCTTTTCAAAATTACATTGGGATTCATCTAATTTATTATTGACAAAGGAAACTCTGAGCAAATTGAGAGCTTATCATTTCATAACTAACAATGCACAATTTCATTAACACTCTCATGTTAACGCTTGGAATATTTAATACAAAGGTAGTTTATGAGTATTCTATAATCAGCAATTGTTACTGTACAGCTTTTTTTAAAGTACACTTTTGTGCTGCAAAAATGCATTTTTGTGGGCAATCAAATATAAATGGATTAAAAGATGTCCACAACAATTTATGAAAAAAGAGCTTATCAAGGAAGTGAAATAAAGCTTACCAAGAAATATCTGGTGTGGGTATTGCAAAAAACTGACAGTACAAGTGACTTGAATAACCCATTACTGCCACATATTCTTCACCATCTGGAGTTAATATTTCTGGGGGAATATCTGAAAAAGGAAATGTAAATTAGCAAAGGAAGAGTCAAGGTAGGACTACCAACAGTGATAAAAAAGAAGTAGCCTTAATCCTAGGGCAAATTTTGTGATTTTGAGATATTTTATTCCTTTAAAAAATACTTTTTCACAATCATAAACAATGCAAATAGAATTTTAATAGAAAAGAGAGGGAGGTGAATAGGAGCCCTGCATCATTTCTCACAGATGGTAGTCCAATCTCTTCTTGAAAGCTTCCAGTGATGAAGCTGCTACACCTTACGGAGACAACCTCTTCCATTGGTAGATTGTTCTTTCTGTCAGAAAATGTATCCTTATTTGTAGGTTGAATCTCTCCTTGATCAGTGTCCATCCATCCTTGTCTGGCCTTCAGGTGCCTCGGAAAATAGCTTGACACCCTGTGGCAGCCCCTCAAATATTGGAACACTGCTATCATGTCTCCCCTGGTCCTTATCTTTACCAGACTAGCCATGCCCCATTCCTGTAACAATTCTTCATAGGTTTTAGCCTCCTTGTTAATTGACAATAATTAATATAATTTCTTGCATAAAAAGACAGATGGAATTTTGATCCACGAAGTTCAGCATTTTCCCCTGTGAGAGGCAGTAGCTCTCTTCAAAGCAAAGTCTTTTTCTGATCTTTGTGCATTGCAAGTATGAGTGAAAGCCTGAACATGCCATGATTCCCTGTAAAAAATAACTTACTGAGAACATCAATATTTGCTGTGGCCAGGATAGTGCCATGCTTGTTGGTAGCCTCACACTGGTACACTGCAGTGTCACTCAGCTCCAAGTCAATGATGCTGATCTCCCTTGTTGAAAAAGCAGCTCTGCTGGATTTTATTTCGTTATCTGTCAATAAGGTAAGAAAATGTTACTTATACTGAGAGACTTCCAATTCTTCCCTAGCACTAACTTTTCCTCTGGCAAACAGAAAAGGTGAGAACATGTAGAAAACATTCATTTATCTTTATATTATGTGCTGCATTAAAACAAATTGAATTATGCAAATAACAATTAGTGTTAAATAATGACATCATGAAGAAGACTTATTTTGCTTTAAGCCTAACATTTCTGGATGCATGGTTTGTTTACGAGTTAGCTGTACCTATAAATGCCATGCTGGTGACACATGATTACTCTTTAAAGCTTAAAACAAACTGCAGATATCTATTTTTCTAGTAATATAGAATAATAACAAACTGTCTAAACTTTCCTTTGTTTTTGCCCTAGTGGTAAGTTATTTGGTTTAACCTTCAATTTCAAATCTAGTTAGAATGGAATAGAATAACAGAGTTGGAAGGGGCCTTGGAGCTCTTCTAGTCCAACATTTCAATTATCTCAACCTATCTGAACTTGGAAGCTAAATATGACCAGGCCTGACGAATGCCAAAATAGAAGATCACCAACAAGCAACAGGCATTATAAACTCCTCTTGAAAGTATAAATATTCCCACAAAAAAATCAGGAATGCCAAATGATCTTAACAACTGCATGATTCATGTAATAATTATAGTGATTCACTTAATAGCCATGACATAAAAAGTTTATAAAATTACGCACAATTCATTTAACAACCGTCTTGCTTAGAACAGAAATTAAGTTCCCAATTGCATGTAAGGGTTCCCCTTGCACATAAGTGCTAGTCGTTCCTGACTCTAGTGGGTGGTGCTCATCTCCCTTTCAAAGCCGAAGAGCCAGCGCTGTCCAAAGTGACTCTGTGGTCATGTGGCCAGCATGACTAAACACCAAAGGCACACAGAACACTTTTACCTTCCCACCAAAAGTGGTTCCTATTTTTCTACTTGCATTTTTACATGCTTTCAAACTGCTAGGTTGGCAGAAGCTGGGACAAGTAATCAATCATAATATCTCACTGGGAAGTTAGTCAAATAAAATTGATTAAATTTAAGCAATCTCATTGGGTTTCTTCCATACTAGCATTGTCTAATTTAGTAGTGTTGGATTTTAAGAAACATATCCAATCCATAGGATCGATAACTAGAGATAATGGAAGCTGAAATCTTATGCATCCAGAAGCATCACATTGGAAAAGGCCAGTTTATATAGCTGTTTACTATTATTGAACTGTAGGTTTAAATCCTGTGCTTACCTTCAAGAGGAATGCCGTTCTTTTTCCATTTTATAGTTGGCTCAGGAAAGCCAATAGCTTCACACAACAGTACAAAACTTCCACCAACACTGAAAACTCCACTTTTTGGTTTGTTTACCCAGGTGGGCGGCTCTGTTGAAAAAGTAATTACCATTTTAGTCACTACCATAAACACACACCCATAATCCTGATGCAACAATATTGGTGCATTGCACACCCGCAACCCTGATGCAACAATATTGGTGTGGTGTGCTAACTGCACTTTTCCTTGAAGAAAGATAATCTAGCCATATGAATCATGGTTTAACCATCTCCTATTTATACAGTATAAATAAGACTATTGGAAACTCAAAATGAGTGTGAAATGCAGGGGCTAAACGTTTTGCAAAGCTGTACTTTGTAGATTATTTTGCTTTTTTTCCTTTCTTTCAGGGTTGGTTTGCCTATTTGCCTATTGGTTTGCCAAAATGTTCATTTTGACCTATCAAGCTCTAGATAATTTGTAACCAGATTATTTGCTCCTGTATTTTACATCAAAATTGCAACTGAAGAACTCTAAAGGGAAATGAGCTGTTTTCTTTCTACTTTAGGCAAGTAGTAAAGAATCTTTGATACCATCAGAGTTTAAGTGCTACAAAAAGTTGTACACGCAATTTTTCATTTTAATTGGAAAAAAAAAATCTGTCTTACAATTGTGTTTGCTTGAAATGCTGTTTGCTTTTATGTGTTCAGTTTCATGGTATTTTTTAAAATTCTCTCTAGATGTGTAGCGGGTATAATGATAAATGCTATGTTTAGTAACTAGATAAAACAAATAAAACATAATGTGAAAAAAGGATTTCTGAGCTCTGTGCATATCTAAAGTTGAAACAAATGAGATGATGTGGAAGAGGCTAGAAATGTTGGCTGCAAATATTTCACTGAGAAAGAGAAAAGAATAAACAAACAAACAAATGTATAGCACGTCCCAAACCATAATAAATTTATTCTACTCTACTCTACTCTACTCTACGCTACGCTACGCTACGCTACGCTACGCTACGCTACATGACTCCACTCAACTCTGGCAACATTGTACCAAAATCTATCCTGCTTTCCTAATAGTTTTGTCCTCCCCTCTCCCCCAATGAAATAAATGTTATAGCTCTCAATTTCCCCAACTTCATCCTCATTTCCTCATTTTGCAACCTGTATGGCATGACTTTCCTATGAGGTCTGTGAAAAAAAGTTTCAGAAAAGTTTCCATGCACATCTCTGGTGAATTGAATGTACCACAAATAAAAAAATAAAAATAAAATGGTTGCATTTCATAAACTACAGTCTAACAAAGTAAACGGAAGAGTATATTATTATGAAAATGTTATTTTTAGGGATTTTTTTTTAAAAAAATGGAATTATGTTATAAAACTGAATGAGAATATTTCAAAAACTACAGAAGAAATGCTCAGCATAGCTGAATTTGACAGAGTAAAAGAGAAACCGGGAAAAACAAAAGCATCATACGGTGTGTGGCTATACATCCATTAACCAGCTGATGGCACTCATGCAATTGAGAAAAAAAACAGGTTGGCAAGACCAAGTTCACAAATTCTTCAGTTTTGTTTAACAAGGAGCTATTCGTTACCCCCCTCATTCACAAACTCCTCTTCAGAACTTCACTAATTACACCATGACTTCAATTTATTGATGATTTTTTTCCCAATATTTCTATATTAACTGGAAAAGGGAAAGAGAAAGTCAGCCTCCAACAGCCGCTTGAGATTATAAGTGCATAATCAAGTTCACAGACAGGAATTGCTCACTCTCTAAATTATGGTAACAGCTATTATAGCCATCTTTTTGGTTAGAAAAAATTAAGATTTTCTAGAGTTTAACATGAGACCTATTCTTTCTATTAGGCTGTGATTTATTAATGGTTGAGGCAGCCAAGTAGAAACTGTGAGTTCTAGTTCTGCTTTAATCAGGAAAGCCAGCTGAGTGACTTTGGACCAATCACCCTCTCTCTCTCTCAACCTACCCCACTTTACAGGGTTTTTGTGGGGAAAAATAGGAGGAGGAAGGAGTATTAGGTATATTCACCTAATTATTTATGAATAGAATAAAGGCGGGATATAAACAAGCAAACAAATAAATAAGAAAGATTGCCTAGCATACAGAAGTAACTCTGAACAGAATACAAGGGTTAAATGCAACAATTTAACTACAACCATAGGACACAAACACAACCTGACACACCCAAAAAAGAACAGAACAACATCCAGAGTTTGCCAACCACCCTGCTCAGACGCCTGGAGAAACATCTAGATCTTTAATTCTATTTATTAAATTATTAAAATTTAGCTAGCATTAAAGAGTTTGAGCCATCAAGATCTCTAAGAGGATACTGTTGCATAGGTGCTGCCTTCACTATACAGGCATGACTCCGGGATGCAATAAAATGTCATTTGTTTAATGGAAGATGCCTAGAATATATCTTCCCTGCTGGAATTGGTGAAGTGAGCAGAGATGGTAGGAGATGGTGATCCTGCAAATAACCTGTAAGTGAGCTTAAATCACGCCTGAAAGCCCATTGAGAACACATCCCACCTGCCACCAAGTTCTGATATAATTTCCCCCCTATCAATGGAGTCTGAACTCAAATCATAAGCTTTACAAGAATAATAGTGCTATTTTGTGGAAACCCAGTTAGCCAATTAGAAACCCAGTTAGGCAGAACTGCAAGATAATAAAGCCAACAGTCTTGAGAATCATGGGAGATGTGAGTCAATCATAGGCTTGCATATCTTGGTTGGAGTTTTGCTACCCAGAATGAAAACAGAAACACAGCTTACTTGGCAAATTGTTGTTTATGATTGCAACATTGTACCTCGTTGCTCCAGATTGTTTGATCTACCTAATCATTTTGATGCCTGATTAAATGCTGACTATATTTTTAGTTTGATTTCCTTCTGTAGTGCTGGTGCCAATGCTTAGACTAGATTTGGATTACCACTATTTGGATTCACCACTACTGCAAAATTCAATTACTTTTGCAATTAGTCCCTTGTGGTGAACTAATTGCTATAGTTTGCTACGGAATGGTACCTATTTTCAATATCCACACAATAGAAGAGATTATTGAATTAACATTCCAATAAATTTCACTATCCTACTTGGAATTGCCTATATTCTTATATACTATCTTAAAAATTCTTAGGTTCTTGAATTATTAAGTTTCCACTAGTGTGATTCTTTAAGTATAACTATTAATTTACCCACACATAATTTGAATTAGAATTCAAGCAGAGATATGTCTACTGTCGAGGTGGCGCAGTGGTTAGGGTGCAGTACTGCAGGCCACTTCAGCTGACTGTTATCTGCAGTTCAGTGGTTCAAATCTTACCGGCTCAAGGTTGACTCAGCCTTCCATTCTTCCGAGGTGGGTGAAATGAGGACCCAGACTGTGGGGGCAATATNTCTCTCTCTCTCTCTCTTTCTTTCTGACTGTGTCTCTTTCTTTCTCTCATTCTTTCTTTCTCTTCCTTCCTTTTACTTCCTCTCCCTCTTTCTTCTTCCTTCCTCTCATTTTTCCTCCTTCCCTCCTTCCCTCCCTCCCCTTTTCCTTCCCTTTGCTGGTTCAAATCCAAATGGAGAATAATTTACTTTTGTAAAAAAAATAAAGAGGGGGGGGGTGAGGACCAGGTGGGACGGACAGGCCCTTTCTGGGGGTCCAAATGGAAGCCCTTTTTGGGAGGAACGGCCTGCCCAGGTGAGGAAAAGGAAACCTCCTTCTCCCAAAGAGACAATTACCCCATGGAACTCATGGCCACCAGACCTGGGGATGTTGCCCAAAGCAGATTAAATCAAGGATGTGAAGAATTAGTCAGGCACGGCACTCAATCAGGCATATAATAAATAAAGTTAATTTGCCATGCTTCTGGCAGTGCAGGCGATACGTGGGATCGGGGTTTGTGGCGCGTGGGCAGGGCACTATAAAAGCCAGTCGGAAAACCTGGATGAGCAACTTTGCTTCCCTTCTTCCTTCTTCTTTCCTTCGCAGGCTGTTTTCTCTCTCTCTCTCCCTCTCTCTCTCTCTCTGCTTGATTGAGAGTGCATCGTTGGAGGCGCCAAGATGCTGCACATTTTCTCCTACCTGAGCTCCGAGGTCGACTGGTGTGAAGCCAACTTTGAGCACTCCGAATATATTGCTGAATATTACAACTCGGTAACTCTTCCGTGGGAGAATTTCTTGGCACAAGGGTGGACGCGCCATTCCCACCTCCTCCTCCCCATCCGCTGTGGGGCAGTGGGGAAGGGGGGGGAGAGAATTAGGGTGCTGGATGGGTTCTCCATCACGGGAGGCTTTCAGAAATAGGGTGGACAACCGTTGGATGGGGATGGGATGAAGGTCTCCTGCTTCGAGGAGGGGGTTGGACTAGATCAGTGTTTCCCAACCTTGGCAACTTGAAGATGTCCGGACTTCAACTCCCAGAATTCCCCAGCCAGCGAATGCTGGCTGGGGGATTCTGGGAGTTGAAGTCCAGACATCTTCAAGTTGACAAGGTTGGGAAACACTGATCTAGTCCAACCCCCTCCTCGAAGCAGGAGACCTTCATCCCATCCCCATCCAACGGTTGTCCACCCTATTTCTGAAAGCCTCCCGTGATGGAGAACCCATCCAGNGGAACCTCTTCTAACCGGTTCAGTAGATTTGACGAACCGGTTCTACCAAACTGGTGTGAACTGATAGGAACCCACCTCTGATCTGTAAAACAATATTAATTCAGATTCTAGATGATGCAGGACAGGACGGGAGCAGCTAATAAATCATCAAAAGTTGTTCAAACAACTGAGTAAGGGGAATATAAAAGAATGCAAGAACAATTTTGATAATAAAGAGATATATTTATAGGACAGAAACATTCAGTTACTTTAGGTTATATTTTGCAGCATTTTTAAGGAAGTGAGTAACAACCAGAGAGCCTTGGCAATTGTCTAGCTACAAAATTAATGAAAATTGTTTTGTGTGTGTTCTTACACAAGAACATCCTTTGATGTTACTAATGAATGAGTTCTTTTTAACTTGCTGTGATGGCTGATCATCATGCTTTGGCTCCTGGGCAAAAGTTATCAGCAATGTGGGTTTGTAGAAT